GATTGTGTAATGAAACCGACCAGTCTGTTTCAATACGGCACGCGTCTTGGCCTTTCCATGCCTTTCCGGGCAGTCCATCCGATTCACCAGGCACCCCTTTGGATACAAATCTGACTTCCTCACGAGCGAATCATACGGAAGCGGCGTCAGTCCCTCATGCAGATTTGCATTTGGTGTGCTTTAAATTAAAAAAAAAAAAAAGCCCGAATGATCTTTCCTTTGGCTCCGTTTTCCGTCTGCCTGTGCAAATCCGCCTCATTTCTCAGGGTGTTTGCCAGCAGGCCCAGCAGATGCCGTTCAATAGCAGATTTTGAAATCTCAGTAACTCCCTGTGTCTCTTTTCCCCCCGGCTATCCTGGAGTAATTGCCTGCCAAGCTTAGCTTTGAATCTGAGCCATTTTGGAGTTATGCCGATGTGAAAAGGGTGTTTTGTTTACACCGATAAACTCCTGTGAAGCTCTTACACTTCTGAATATGGGGATTGTAAATCTCCTACTTGGGAGATTCCGATCACGGCGGGTGGAGGCTGGGGAGGAATTAGGGACTTCAAAACTAAACAACTTTGCAAACCGGCGTTGATCACTGAAGTGTTGAGTAGCTTAGGCTATTTTTAGAATTCAACTTCAGACTCCTCTATGCTGCTTCTTCCTGGGTCTCATTTCAGTTGCATGTTTGGTCCCTCTTCCTTGCTGGGGGTCAAGGATTGCTCTCTGTGGCGTTGCAGGCCGGTATGGCCGCTGCCAGCCGTTTTCCCTGTGCTAACTCTCAACCCTTTTCCTTTCCTCTCTCCCCAGGTGAAGCTCTCTGATTTTGGGTTTTGCGCGCAAGTGAACAAAGAGGTCCCGCGGCGGAAGTCGCTGGTGGGAACCCCCTACTGGATGGCGCCAGAGCTCATCTCCCGACTACCTTATGGACCAGAGGTAAAGCTAGAGGGGCAGGGCCCTGGGATCCCTGGGGGACGTTCATCCTGGCCCCTTCCTGAGAAGGCTCATCGAAGGGCTAAGAAAGGCCACTGCTAGAGAAGGGAGATGGGAGCAATGGAAATGACGGAGTGTCAGGGAAACGAACACCCAGGGCCTGGGCGATCCCTAGTTTAGTGCCTGGGTAATAAGTTGGCATCTTATGCTTCCCTGCCCCCAAATCGGGGATACAGACGGGGGCCTCGGCACAGCCAAGGGCGTTCTGATCCACCTGTCCACCCTGCAGGGAGATGAATAGATGGTAACCCCCCGGCAATGCTAAACCCTAGAGGCTGCGGGACGGAAAGGTGGATGAAGCTTTTAGCTTCTCAGGTGCAGAGGGGAACAGCAAGTTCCCAGAGCTCGTGTGGAATGAGCTGGCAGGAGCCAGTCCACGTCCCACTGACGCTTGGATCAGCAGCTCTGTGAGGATGCCGGTGGGTCACCAGGTCGCCAGTGGGGCAGAATTCAGTTTGTCTTGTTCTACAATTTTGATGCTGATGATTGCTGTGTATATGTGCACATTTTTTCCGATTTTTTTAGACCGAAAGGTTCACAGTTGGGGGGGAGTTCAGAAAAGCAGGGGAGGGGGGCAGTTAATTCTTTAACGACGGTAGAGGTTGAGATTCAAAAAGTTAAAGCTTTGTGGCTCTTAACCTGCAAATTGTCAGCATCACATGTCAAAATCGACAAAGTCAATAGCCTTAAACCAAACTCTCTCATACGTTCTCAAGCAGCATTTTCCTGACTTTGCCTGCCTGTACGTTTCAATGATCAGCAGTGGAAATGTTTTCCCTTGGTTTGTGGCTGTGCAGTGAACTTGACGGTTACACCCTAAAGGGTGGGTGGGTGGGTGTGTTTTTCTCTCCGTGCTCCCAAACCCCGGGGGCTTGTCTTGACTAGGAAAAGCAGATCATGTAAGGCGGAGTTAAATCAGATGTGCTGACTAAGCCTTGCTTGAAACTCTCTCACTTTTCCTAGGCAGGACAAACCCTGCAGAGGGCCAATTATTCCTGTAGCCGTGAAATCCGCTTGACTGTTCGTCTGCTTCTGGCACGTGTGTAGCAACAAAGGCCACTAGGTGGCGCTGTGTATAAATGCAAACTCGCCATAAGTGCGTTTGGGTCCTAAGAAGGGAAGTGCTCATGCTAACAGGCGCGGACGCGGAATGTGGTCCCTGTCTTTGGAAGACCTCCCTGCTTGCTTTCAGTTCATGGCATTCGTTCCTGTGCATCTATGTCGTAATAAAGCACTAGACACGCTTACGTCCCTGCTAATCAAGGGGCACACTGTAGGGGGGGCGGGGGTTGGATTCCTGCGGTGACAGATTTAGAAACACGCCAGTCATCTGGTGTAGCAGGCTAGGCTCTGGGTTTCTATACCAGATGACTGGTGTTTCTAACGTGCAGCTGCCGTCTCTGTCGGATCCAGACTCCAGGCTGCCTTGCCTGGGGGAGTGTGGCCTAATCGCTCTCTCAGTGAGGCCCTGTGGTGCTTTTCACCTTTGGCGAGGGCACCGGTCTTTCTGATTTAAATAGGACACCGATGTGCTGCCCAGGGAACAGTGTCTAGCGACTAGAACAGGGGGAGGGATAGCTCAGTGGTTTGAGCATTGGCCTGCTAAACCCAGGGTTGTGAGTTCAATCCTCGAGGGGGCCATTTGGGGCAAAAATCTGTCTGGGGATTGGTCCTGCTTTGAGCAGGAGGTTGGACTAGATACCTCCTGAGGTCCCTTCCAACCCTGAGATTCTATGATACTGGGCTGGGAGCTGTTCCTGGACCGGGCACTTCCCCTCTGTGCTTCAGTTTCCCCTCCCTTTTGTCTATTTATGCTGTAAGCTCTGGGGACAGAGACTGCCCATCACTCTGCGTCTTGCAGTGCCCAACACAGTGGGGCAGGTTTGGGGGCACAGCAGCCCCCCACCCCACCTGTCATTCCATCGCCAGTCGCTGTCCCTTCGCTTCCCTTTCGCCCATCTCTCCTCTCTTTGCAGGTGGATATCTGGTCCCTCGGCGTGATGGTGATCGAAATGGTGGATGGAGAGCCCCCTTATTTCAATGAGCCCCCCTTAAAGGCAATGAAGATGATCCGGGACAACCTGCCCCCGAAACTTAAAAATGTGCACAAGGTAATGAACGTGTTGGTCATCTCCTCCTCTCCCGAGTTAAGTAGGGTCAGGAACCTGGATGGGAGACCCACAGGCGTGGTCAGCTTCCGCAGCGCGTGGGCCTGGTTCTCCCTCAGATGGGCTTCCATGGGGGGCTGGGTATCCGCTCCAAACGCTTTAGCAAGCTGGCCTGGTGAACTGGGTTCCTTTGTATTTGGGGCCGGGGGGAGGACACCCACACAGACACAGACACACCCCCTGAGGACGTTGATGTTTCACGGTGACTCTCTCACGTCCGGGAATGAGACGGTTGCAGATCCAGTCCCATGCGCGAATGCGCCCCTGGTGGGAGTGGCAAGAACCCGAGGGAGGCCGATTCCCAGCTCTGCCACCTCGCTGCCGAATGACCCTGGGCAAGTCCCTTCTCTCCCCGTTAGATTTCATGAAGCTGTCGGTACAGGGTGGGTGTGGAACAGGATAATGACAGGACCTGCGGACGTGTAGCAAAACCCTCTGTCTGCATTGTGAGAGAGAATATGCAACTATGACGTTGTGAGCTCTCCATACACGTCGTGTACGTGATATACGTGTGCGCTCGCACTCCTGCCGTTGGCTCTCCAAGTGAGAGCATGGGTGAACCATTGCCGCGTCGTGCCTCGGTTTCCCCTCCCACCTATTGTCCATTCTGAGCGCTTCGAGGCAGGGACGCCCTGTATGCACACAAGGGAGCAGTTCGTACGTGATCTACCGAAGGGCTTCCCTTGGTCGCGGCCACAGCTGGGGGCTGAGCTCCACGGGCCTGCGCAACCTGCCCTTTTTTTGGCCTGCTGAACCATGGAGCCTCCACTTTCTCACGGTGGTTGTGCCGCTTTTGCCTCCATGCGAGGAGTTAACAGCAACCACCCGTTTTACAGACTCGCTTCCGGCCGGCGGAGAGAGGTGCCCAGGAGAGCCGAGGCAGAGAGCTTTCTGCATTCTGCTCTCCCCTGGGGAACCCTGCCTCCATGTGCTCCGGCCCCCTCTGAAGAGCGGGGGGGACGGATGCTATAAAACCCGAAGAGCGGAGTCACTTGTTAGCATGGGTCTCTCTGGGTGCATGGGGGAAGGGTGTCTCGCGTGCACTCGGGTTTGATGTCTGGGGATGGATTGCTCTGTGGGTAGGGAGATGTCTTCCAGGAACTGTAACATTCTCTGTGACTCATTGCCAACTGCCCTGTTCCGCATCTGACTTCAGTGCCCAGATGACTTGGCACTTAAGGCCTGGGATGAAATAGGGCGAGCTCAAGAGGCCTGTGCCCGCGGGAGGGAGGTTGTGCCAGTCCATAGCTTCTCCCCGTTCCCTTCCCCACCTCCAGCCCGTCCAGTCCCTGCCTGCTGCAGGATCCGGGTGGGTGGGTGGCCGACCCAGGGGAGCCTAGGGCTGATGTCCTGCTCCTCCAGCAGTGGCTTCTCTAATTCCCAGTGGCACTCGCTCTTCTCAGCCCCTGACTCATGACTGCTCCTTCCTCCTCAACAGGTTTCTCCTTCCCTGAAAGGATTCCTGGACCGCTTGCTGGTGAGAGATCCGGTCCAGCGGGCCTCCGCCAGCGAACTCTTGAAACACCCCTTCCTGGCGAAGGCCGGGCCTCCTTCCAGCATCGTGCCGCTCATGCGGCAGAACCGGATGAGATGAGAGCGCCGGCTGCACCGGAGAGAGAGAGAGAGAGACGCGTGCGCCGTCTAACCGCTAACCCCACGCGGCCGGCCACGTCCCTGCCTCGGCCCCCGGCCCTCCGTTCTCCAGGGCGCCCCTGCCGTTCCCTTCGGCCGCCGCGGCAGGGACAGCGGGTCCCGACAGCCAGAGCAGCGGCACGAGCGTCCGGCTCTCTCGGTCCCTCTGGGTTCCCGGCGGGGCCAGCGGTTCCGCTAACTGGATTTACAACTGTGCCACTACTGTCGTGACTGTGGCAGGAGCTCTCCTGCCCGTCGCACCATGCTGCTGAGTGGAGGGGGGTGGGGGGGCCAGCTAGGCGGGGTGGGGGTAGGTTTTTTTAAGGACTTTAAAATTTCTGATCAAAACGGTAGTTTTTACACACACACAGACGAGGCGGGGCCGGGAGCGACAGACACTAAGCAACTCAACACTGGAACTGGTAGCTTCGGGGTCTTCACCACACCGTCCCTCGCAGGAGACTAGAGGCTGCTGTTGCAGGGTCTCCATGCTGCCCCCGTGCCCCCTCCCCGCTCGTTCTGCCTTGAGGTCTAGACGCGTGCTCCTGCTCGGTCCCTGGGATTGGGGGAGCAGGGAGCCGGCCCCCTGGCCTCTTTGCTTTCACGGGTTCTTTTCCAGCCGAGTAGCCCCAAGTGCATGGCTCACCCGTCCCCCGGGGCCTCCAAAACGCAATCCACTCCGGCCCCCTGCGTCTAGACTGGTGGGGAGAGACTCTGGTATCCCAGC